TCCTACACGGCAAAGAGTTGCTCCTAGGAGCCAACCTTGTTCCTAGTAGTAAGGCCAGGGGCTACTAGTAGCGTCCTTTGCTCCTAGTAGCGATGCCCTTTGCTCCTAGTAGCGTCCTTTGCTCCTAGTAGTAAAAAAGGCCTGCTGGGTCTCAGGCAGCGCTGCCTCACACGCCACCAGTGAGCTCTTCATCGGCCACTCGAACCGGTTAAACCGGCCGGCTTAGGGCCCACCAGCGAAGTGGAAGCATCCGCCCTGGGAAGTCTGGGGAGGTTCCAGTGAGGCGCGCCCGCACGGTCCGACCGTGTGCGACAGCATTGACAGCATTGACCACATTTCACTCCTAAAACAAGTATGGATTTGTGTGTGTTTTTCCAATTTATTTCTTCGTTTGACGTACTTTCTTCTCTGGAGCTGTTGAGCTGTTGGAGATTCAACCTACAGTGGAACGACTTCAGGCTCATAGGACTTGGGACAAACAAATCAAACGTTTGGGCCATGCAGCAATTCTCTCTTATCCAGGAATTGATTTCGGCCCCTGCTGCTCAGAATCAGCTCATCTCCACTCTCTCCACCCAAAATAAGATCGCAGATGTTGTTCAAAGCCAACTTTTTCCTTGTGCGTTTTTTTGGCGGGCAAACGAACACGGAAGCACAAGAAAAGAGCATACAGTATTGTTGCAGCAATGATTGTCATTCAAGCTTCACATTCTTCAGAGAAGAGACATGCTGCTCAGTGCACTCCTCAAGCTTGACATGTTTCGCTGCAGGCTCATCAGCTTGGGGTGCTTCGGCATATTTGTTCCTTGAATGTCCGGCAACCCAAATGTGAAGGAACATGACATGACTGGAGAGCAAAAATAATTTTCCTCGACTCTGTTCAGGATTCAATGTTTACAACTCAACTGTCAATATGACAATAGTTATGTATTACTATACAGAGTGAGTGTCGACTCACTCAGAAGATACTGGCCATCCTTGTTGAGGCGCTCGTTGTGACTTGCAATCTCTGCCTCGGCACGGTCCTTGGTAGTGGGCTCCTCAATGAACTTTGTAGCCAGAGATTGCACCACTGTTGTCCAAGCACATTGTTCCACAAGCGGATGTTTTGCCATCAGCAAGATCCTGACACGAAAGGAAGTAGCCCCCCTCAAGACACACACCTCTCAAAGACACATTTACCTGACAGGGCATGGTCTCCTCCAGGGATGCCATGGCCAGGGCACCATCGTAGCCATAGAGGTCCGGTCCACCAAAATCGTTGCTTTGGATGTTGGAATGGAGAAACGACTTCAGCGTTTCGTGAATGAATCCTGTTCCTCCTGCTGCCTCAGTGTACCACAGTGCTGGTTTCCCAACTAGATTTGGCTGCAAAACAAGAGATTCCAAAATAAATGTGAGGTGCTTGGCGCATCTCTTGGACATCGGTGAATGCTCGGCCCAGGTGTGGCAAAGGCATTCCTGTCCTCCCCGGCGATGCCTCACAGGACAGCCAGCCCGAACATACATACATTGGAAAACAGGATGCTCCTGGTCAAAGGAGGGTGCTTGGTTGGTCAGTACTTAATCCTTAATCGAGTTTTATTCAATCAGACTTTAGGGGGCCTTACTTATGCTTCCTACACTTACACATTAGACTCACAGGGACAGTAGACTAATTAGTCACTAAGTTAGTCACTGATATCCCCTAAACAGGAGTAATCGATGGATGAATATTGAGTGTGTTGAACGTTCCTGGATTTTGCAATGCACTACAAGCAAGTTGATTCAACAGGAAGTTCACCGGGAGTCTTGTTTGTGAGTTTGCCAAGTTGCCATATCTGGCTTGTACATCGAGTTGCGAGCCAGCATTGGTACGGAATGTATTGTACCTGTTTTCCATCCTTTGGTTTGCTTGAAGAGGTTCCTCGAATTCCGACTGATGATGGCAATTCCAGGCATTGTTCCATCCCTTTTGCCATACACTGTCTCCTCGGTTCTATTGTTCGATGTTCCGCCCAAACACACACACAAAAAAGAAAATGAGTTGCTTTTCACGCTAATCTCACAACAGTTTCCAAGCACAGCTCCAGACATATACAAAACCCTTCCTCAAGGCAAAAAGGTGACTAGTTCAACCCAAGTCACAGGTTCAAAGACCCATGTTACTGAGCGAGTCTTCAGCCCGCGGTCTTTGAGAGAGAGCTCAGTCCTCAGCCATCAGCAACATAAAGCGCTATTTCATCCACCTTTGAATGAACTTTTTCGCAACACTAAACATAAAGAAGCCGAGAATCTCCAGTTTGTACCTGATGTCACGGATCAAGAAGTCCTCATCGTCGTCACCTGCTTCGGCAGCCTTGTCATCATCAGAAGCCCCCTCGTCCTCCTCCTCCTCCTTTTTGACTCGATCCTCCAATAGCATTTGCACGAAGTTCTTCTTCAGTCTGAGTGGGGTAGTGAACAAAGACGAAACAAGAGACACACTTCACAAAACACACTGGGTCTCTTGGCTCCAAAAAGATGCCAAGGCACGGCTGGCACCGTCAATTGAGAATCTGACATGGTTCCTGGACTCTGTCGGTTCTCCTCAGAAGGGGTCCATGTGGGGATTGCATTGGGCCAGCTTCCAAATCACATGTGTTAACAGCGCATTCATGCAGGGTTATGACAAGTTACATGCAAGCCCGGTTCCAACTTAATCTTCTTGGGCAAGGCAACTGGGACAGGTGGCTGATCCTTCTTCAACGCCGCCAACAGCTGGTTGGCACCCTATGCATGCAGGCATGCATGTCAATATATATCGATACATGCTGGAAATTATATTTTTTGAATGGGTGCTCTCAATCACCGTGCCTTCAAAGCATCCTGAAGATCACCACCCTGAAGATTCAACTTTGCCAAGACTTGGCAGGCCTGAGCGCCTGATTGGAGCGTCCCGCATGACCAGGTTCGGCTGGGCAAAGATGCCGAAGACATGATGAGTTCCACTTGCGGGTCGACGCGTGTAAAGGCAAAAGGCTAAATGCTTTAAACCCAAAGCAGTAACCAGTAACATCCATCCACTCTGGTGATTGTGGGGGATCAGGTGAGCTCGGATTGTTTGTTAAGAAGCTCTCCAACTGACTTCCTGCAAGATCAAACCTGTTTCAATTGGGCAGCAGCCAGCAACATGTCATCCCAATCGTGCAAAGAGAGGCGCAGGTAGGCCTGCACACAGCTAATTCCTGACTCTTAGATCAGCCAGGACAACAAAAATCCGTGCCTTCCGACAACAAAAGGGACTACAGTTGGTTCATGAGCGACACATGGTTTATACCTTTCGGACAGTTTTTTTACGTAATTTTTACGTAAAAGCTGAACGCAATTTGAACGCAATTGAACGCAATTTGAACGCAATACGAACGCAACATTTTTCGAACATATTTTACATAATTTTTTTCGAGCACACCCCAATTCGAACACCTGCCCAATTACAACAAATTTATGTATTTTATGTAATTTTGACAACTTTTACATTTCGGTAACAATGTGTAAAATTCAAAAAACATAAGACAACAACAAGGGCACACCAAGTTCAAAAAAATCTCCAAAATAGATCAAATTAGGTCCAACCGTGTGTTGTGATGCAATATTTGGTCTTGTGAGATGATAAGGAGGGTGGAGTTCTAGCTTGTATGCACCTGGGTTTCACCAAAGCCATGGAAAAGTGTGGGCCCGACCAAAAAACACTGGTTTATAATCGTTATAAAGCATTATACCCCAAAGCTCTTTTGCAATCTTTTGCCTCACCCCCAAATGGGTACCATCACAAATAGGTCCATCGGAGCAATTAAGCATGCAAGTTCAATGTTGGCTTTCAATCTATATATGGACTTAAGGCAATATTGGATCAACAGTCCAACATTCAAAAGAATCCGACGTTCAAACCGATCCATTTGGGGTTGGACATTGGAACAGAATCCTCAGCTCCTGCTGGCTGAGATTGGCCCTTACCATCGTGTCGGAAGCACGGCCCGCCAAGAATCTGGCACCCGCAAATGGCGGTTCCCTTTCAAATATGCAGCTACAGCTCGCAGGTTGGCTTCACTCCAATCTTCCCATGGAGCTTGCTCGAAAGCTAGAGGTGCGGGGAATCGGGTGGACAATTCACAATCCAAGGGTTTGCCCTCCCCAAGCGTGGTCAGCTGCGGCATCAAGTGCGCCACCTTCTTTCCGAAGAGCCGCGGAAACACCCTCAGTGGCGGCTCCACATACCCCCGAACCTTTCCGTGTTGCAACCAGCTTTTGGGAACAATACTGAGGGAGCTAAAGGGAATAAACCCCAAATGCATGCAACAGATGGGTGTCTATGATGGAGGGTCCAAAAATACACTGAATATCTGAATGTGTCAACAAAGAAAGGCGGCTGTGACGGCACGTTCATGCAGTCTGGCCACTGTGAAGACTTCAACTCTTTGGTGCCCTGATAGCCACCAGAAGATGTTCGTTTGGTCGTTTTCAGGCTCAGTTTCATGCTGGCCTTCAAAGCTTTGGTCAGACGGCCAAGGCAAAACTTCGCGATGGTCCGGTTGTTGGAAAACATTTTCTAACGTTTTGGACATTTTGCTCCGTACATGCACATCCACCAGCCGGTCTTGTATACCTGAGGTTTGAAGGTGGCCCAAAGCAAAAGATCCAGTCTTGACACCACAAAAGTCCCAAATCCAAACCAAAATCCAAACAAATTCCCCAAGTTACACGAAGCTTTCTATAAAGCCAGCGAATGTTCAACCAGGCTTGACCCTGGCTGCTCCAAGCCAAAGCTGCCCCCCCGGCAGGCTATCAGGCACATGAGGAGCACAGTCCTGCCGGGCGGCTGAGGGTATATGGATGCGGGTTGTTGGGGAGGCTGAACCTGCAGGACTTGGGGAAGATGTGTGGTGCAAGTATCCGTCAACCTAACCCTGGCAAAAAAACATATAATGCAAAGAATTTTGCAGCTTCATCACGATTGCTTGGGGGGGCCATGAACATGTGGTCTATGATTGTGACAAAGTCCTTGACGCCAAACAGTTGGCATCCCTTATGTATTTGTGCCGCTCATCACCACATGGATTGAGGATTGAACGTCGGCTAGTGCCAGCATTCAAATGCACCCAGCTGCTGCAAGGGTTCGCAAACATCGCCCAGAATCGATCTTCTTCGCAATTCAGGACTAGCCAAATCAGCAGCCTTGGGTCATGGTTAGTTGGTTTGACACGCAGTCAAAAGAACAAACATGTGGTCTTGGAACAACTAGGGTGGGGGCGCATAACCAGCATTGTCCAAGAAATTGAATGGGTTCTTCGACTTCTCAAACCCGAAAGACTCCCCAAAGTCCAGCTCACATGCCACACCGGTATAGGAAGCAGCTCGAACCTCTGAAAAGACATTCCCAACCCCAGCGAACACCTCCAGGTAGTTGACCTGGCAGGCACATGTATTTCACTGTTGCTATATCGAAGACCCGACAAATCTCAACACAGATCCCACGTGACTTTGCGCAATGGGCGTGAGGCCGCTATGAACTTCAAAACCGCAGGTTCCAGATCAAAAGCATTAATTAACACAATGGCCATGGAGGGTTCCCAAAGTCTTCCGGCTGTTGAAAGCGGCGACTGGTTGCGCCTTATCGAGGCTTGGAAGATTTGTAGTCCATGCCACGAGCAAGACCAGGAAGATGAAGGCCTGCCCGAGGGATAGTGGGTAACTCTCTTAAAGACACTGCATAGTGTTTATCATCCCTCGACTCCATTCACAAAAAAGTAAATTATTTTCTGACGATAGCCCATATAGACAGTCTCGCCTTCGGTACGGACATGAGAAGAAGCTTCGAAACAAGACGATCCAAATCACATTTCATGGCTGCAATGAGATGCTATATAGGTCAGCAAGAGAGTTGAACGCGCCACGTGTGCCCTAAGGTGTTTGCAAAGGTTGTTGTTTGCAAGCAAGCACGTACAGTATTTTTTGAGCCGAGTGCCTTACAAACACATTGCAGCTTGTTGCATGAATGCAGTTCAACGCAAAACAACATTTGCTCTTGTGAGTCCTTCGTTCAAGATGTTCCTCTCAGAGAAAACTTCAAAACATGCAAGGATGGCGAGCAACCCCGCCAGCTCCAGTCGACCGGCGTCCAGCGAAGCTCTTCTTCCCGTGCACGTGCCTAACTCGAACCATCACCTGGCCAAGCGCAGAACATGGATCTTCATCGCAAACACACTCAGACACACTCCGGCGTGCGCAGTGCATGGACGCATTTCTCCCCGAAACATCGACCTTTGAGTTTGGCATGCGTTGCCAGCGATGAACCTAGGCTGGCAATTGCGCATGAAGCCCCGATATCAGAAGCGTAATTCAGCGCGAGCTGTGACAACAGCTCCTGCAGACCTATAGTAGAAATGACAGCCGCGCCCATTCCTTTGAAGAACGCAAGCTGCCAAACAGTCAAACCACCAGCATGCAGCTTCCCGGAAAACCAGACTGATCCCTCATACAAATCAAACCATGCATACTGTGATTTTATATGATTTTGCAAGGTACAAGACAAAGAACTGGCTGCAGTTGGTTCAATACATCAAACACAACTTGGCGATATTTCATCAACGCCATCCATTGTTCTCAAACACTTTGCGTTGGGCTCGCTTCAAGACATCAACATGCTGCTCGATGATGTTTTTCTGCAGGGGGCCTTTCATCTTTGCCATCGACCTGACCTTGGAATAGTGGCAGTGGCGAAGGCAAGGCCACCGGATGCAAGTCAAAGTTTTGTCTTTTCACGGTGCAAAAAAAATATTTGCATCAAAAAGACGAAAGCCTGTCCCATCGCATAGTTGATGTAGACGCACCCCGGTTCCGAGAAGTTGGCGATTTGGCGAACATTTCTGGACTTTGGCACCTTCTTACTGGATTCGGTGTTCTTCCCTGATTTCTTCTTTGCTTTTGTTGCGCTCTCAGCCAACAAATCGTTTGAAGCCTTCACCCCCACATGCCCCCGGGTCCAGTAGGGTGAGATCTTGAATGAATCGTGCGGGACTGTCAGATCAAAGTCGGGGTGATTGCATTCAGACTCTACACAGTCTTTGCAAGCTTCAGTGACGCAAGCCACATAATGATCAAAGAGTTCAGGAGGGGGGGCCTCCTTCTTCTTGGCACTCTTCCCTGCAGCTTTCCTGGTAACTGCTTCAAGCACCTCTTTCTTCTTCTGAGCACAGGCCCTCCCTTTTGTCTTTGGTGCTCCGCTTTTGGGGGATGAGACGTACAACTTGGTCTTTGCACGTTGGATGGGACCCCCAGATGATGAAGCACGCTCTGGTTGCAAAGGCGCTTCTGCTTTGCCTGCAGCTTCAACGGGCTCAGCAAGGGTTGGGCTGGGCTGAGCAGGGGCAGCAGGGGTAGCAGCGTTCTTCCTTGCCGCCTTGATGCCCTTCTTTGAATCTTTAGCTCGCTGCAACTTGCGGAGATTCTTGTTGACAGCCCTCTTGGTGTTTTTGCTTTTGCCTTTTCTGCTACCTGACCCTTTCCCTGTCTTCTTGCCTTTTCCTTTCCCCTTACCACCTTTCCCTCTCCCCTTCTTCTTGTTTTTGCGACCAGAATCCTTGGCCGCATTCTTCCTTTTCCTCTTCTTGTCTTGCTTTTCCTCTTTGATCTCGTCCTTAAGACCAAACTGCTTACGCCTTGTCACAGTTGGGTGGTCTGGGACATCGGATATTCTTCTTCCTTCAGGGCTGTGCTGCGAAAGAGTGCCATATGGGCTACATAAATCAAAACCAATGCGAAAGGCTTTTGAATCTCACACGCATGCCGCATGCACAAAATACATGTTGATCATGGTGTGACAGCATATGCATACATGCGCGCTCCTGACCACCACCTTTTTGCAGCGCAGCCAACTTCTCATCCTCATTCTTTAGCATGGCTTTCATGGAAGCGGTGTGCTCATAGGAAGCCGGTGAAATGGGAACTTGGGTGTCCGTGTTGTCACCAGTTGGAAGGGACTCCATCACATGTGTAGGCGGAGAACCTGGGGCCGTCCAGCAAGACTTGCCCGACATATATCAATGTTAACTTCTATCACCAATTTCACCTCAAAACTATGTACAAGGGTGGAGCTGTGTACGGCATGACGGTGTGACATATGCCTGGCCTTTGTCACCGGGGCCTTCGACATGTTCAGCCGCAGGTTCTGCCAGAGGTTTACCGACCAGTTCACTGCCATTCACCTCCTTCACCTCCAAGGCCGGAGCAGCAGACAGGGACAGCCTGGGCAGCATGGGTCAAGTGATGGCAACACATACATTTTTGGTTGTGTGCGTGCGTGTTTTGGATGGAAGGCAAAATCTTACCCCATTGGATCTAATTCAAAGCTCAGTCACCGTTCGATTTCTTCCAGAACTTCAACAAGCTTGACAGCCATCGAAGCATCATCATCGTGGTGTTCTGGTTCAGGAGAGCTTTCAAGAACTTCCACGGCCTTGAGTGCCCCAAATGATGTGAGAAGAACATGTTTTAGTCAGTGATATGTGTTTGAGTGATTGAAATTACATTTGGTATATGTTTGCATATGTGCGCGCACAGCCACAGCACTCCATTGGCCCAAAAATGTAAACAAAGTTTGTGAACCACTTGCCTCATCGAAAGCGCGGGTGAGATCACCTTCAATGTCATGCTCGAACACTCCGTGGAAATCCTTAGAGAATGGCTTGCAGACCTGGAAGCCTTCAAATTCTGTGAGGAGTGTTTGACGTAGCAGTCTTTGGACCATCCTCGGTCTTATGACAGGCTGGTTGGCATACGGCTTGAACTGACAAGCGGCGAGTTCTTCAAGCATAGTTTGGCGTCCACCTTCACCTCCTGCCACTTCAGCTTCAGCTGGCGCTGGCTCAGGCAACACCGGTTTCTCAGCAGATGCACCCTCAGCCGCTACATGTGTAGGAGCGGCTGGCTCACCTGCCACTGCATGTTCAGGTGCCACCGGCTCAGCAGGCGGTGCCACAGCATTTGGAGGGGCAAGCTCTGATGATTGTGGTGTTGCCACTGGCCGATCATCCCACTGAGAATCATCCATGATCGGATAGGCCTGGCCCAGGCTGCAATTGCGCTTGCGCTTTACCAGCTGGATCTCAATCCCCAAGTCAGCTGCGACTTCGCGAAGTGCTTCATCATCCTGTTGGTCATGAAAAGCGAACCATGCGAACCAATATGCATGCGACATGCCCCACAACTCATAAACATAACAGATGTATTTTATTTCCATCCATGTCTTAAAGAAAACATATAAAAAACAGGGATCGGTCCTCTGAAAGGTACTTCTTGTAAAGCAGGGTGTTTTTTGCCAGTGACAACATCCGGCGGACGGCCCATGCTTGCTGGTAAAGAAAGTCGTAGCTCACCGTGATCTTGGATGCCATGTACAGGTTGCGAATCTCTTCTATGACCCCATCAATCATGGGTAGTTGCAACTGATGTGCCCGCGTGCGGTGGAACATAGGTTTCAACTGTACACGGTTCTCCCGGAGGTTGGCGAGAGTCTTCTCGACGTACTCGTTGGTAGGTTGGGATGTCTGCGGGTCCACATGTTGGATGAGGTTCTTGTTCCAACGGATTCTTTTGCGGACTTCCGCCATGTTGTCCCAATCTTGATACACACCATCGAGAGGATAGTGGGACCCAGAATCCCTTTCCTCTGAGGAAGGGGTGGCAGGTACCATCATGGCGGCAACCAAGGTTCTTCCCAACCTCGCTCCACCCTTTGACCCAACGCACTGCACTGCAGGAATCCGGAAGCATGCGGAGTGGTCTGAGTGGGCTTGGCCGTGTGACTCTGTGACTCCAATTCCAAAAATCAAGTGACACACAGCTATATAGCACATTCATCAATTGGCATGACATGCGCATTGTCACTTCTCAGATATACCGATAATTCGAGAAAAAAATCAGCCAGTGTGACCTGGAACGAGGATTGCAGAAGCGCCACAGCGTCATCGATCGAATTACGAATTGAACGTCGAGCCTCTACATGTGATGTGATGCATTGTTTTAATATATGCTTGTTCATGTGTCAAGCCTCTTGCATCGTGCTGCTGGAAGCTCTGGTGCCAGGCTGTGTTTTTAGAAATCTTAAAAGAATATCCTCCACTAAAGGGCATGCTGAAGTTGAATTCATGCCCCCAAATATATACATATATATATATCATTGTAATAGGCACCCTGTGGCGCCCCACTGGCCGGCTCGGAGCCTGGTTCACAGCAGGTGTGATCGCAAAGGTCTGCACGGACCCCGGCGGAATCCGCCGGCGGCGGCGGATTGGTAAAAAGGAATCTTCAAACGATGCGTATACGAGACCAGTTTTCAAAGGGAATTCGATCACCATTCGAACACCCAATGATTTCATCGTTTCGAGTCTCCTACGGGTCTGAACGGAAAAAATCGTGTAAAGTAGAAATAGTTCCTTTCGAACACAATAAGTACGTTTTTCCACCATAAGCAAGTATTTCAACATACACGCAGGTCCAGGTACCCAAAGGGTTTGTTGACATGTTGCAGGAACCAATCCAACCCTGAAGACAGCACAAACATCATGAACTGTTTCTGGTACTGTACATCGCACAAAGATCATAGCGAGATGGCCTGCTGTTTTCACGAAAGCATCCGCACAATAAATATACGAAGCTTGTTCGACTGTCAGCTCCTCACAGTGCCA